TGTGTTACTGGGGGTAACTGTAGAAAATTATTCCTTTTGTATGTATGTAAGTTTATTCAGGTATACACAAATACAGTTACATAGATTATCATACATAACAACATACGTGTAGAGAACCTAGGATAACCCAAAAAAGTCAGTGTGACTTATTTCCATTGCCTTCACTCAGAGCTTCATTTCTTCTCAAAATGATGTTACATGAGAATGGGAGTGTTCTTCTTTATTAATTCTACCGTATCAATGTAGAGACAACCTGTACACAATGTAACTTGTACACAAACCAGATGTGTACACTTCGTTTGTTTACAAAACTTACGTTCGCCTGGTTTGTTTACATAACTCTGCGCCTGCCCCCTCTCATGTACTCATTCTTTCTCTCTCTCATTTATTCGTTTTATCTCATTTACTTACTCCTGACCCTACATTAAGACTACAAATATTTTAAGGTAAGTAATGAGTGAACTGTATATACATTTTATCGCTCTGGGATGCTTAAATATCATAGAATAGTATGTGTGGGTGGGGTGGCCTGGTAAGGTAGCCTGGCTATTACCATACATACCACACTTGATTTCTTACAATAAATACTACTTGTCTCACCTTAGATTAAGACTATAAATATTTTAAGGTAAGTAATGAGTGCACTATGTGTGTATTGTACTTTTTTATTGTTTTTTGATGCCTGGTTCTATTGCTAACTTAATATATGTTAGTGTAAACTTGTTATCTAGTGTTTGTATGCATTTATAAGTGGAAAAAAAGGGTGTTCCACTTTACGGCGATTTCCGCTTTACGGCGGTAGCCTGGAACCTAACCTGCCATATAAGTGGGGCCCTCCTGTATATATATATATATACACACACACACACACCTACCATCCGACTTACGACCGAGTTCGGTTCCGAGAAACCGATCATAAGTCAAAATGGTCATAAGTCGAATTTTACTACTGAATATCAACAAAACATTTTTGTAATGACTTTATTTTATTGTTTTATTTGGTATTTCATGTTTTACTTTATTTTTTATGCTGTTAGTACTGTATTTTATACTGTAAGGTTTAGGATAAACACTGTACAACACAAATAGTTGTTTATTTCCCAGAAATTTGGCATAAAAAACACGGTCATAAGTCGAGTGGTCGTAAGTCGAGCAAGTGGTAAGTCGGATGGTAGGTGTATATATATTACTGTAACTCAAAAGTCGCTTCCTTAACCTTTTGACTGTCGCAACCCCAATTTTGAAACTGTCTCCCTGTGTTGCAAAATATTCGAAAAAAAAATATTTCTCTTGCCAAAATGTTAGGATTAATTTGCTCAGTGTTTTAAGCTTAAAAATTTTTTTTTGCAATCAGTACTTACTGAGATATAGAGGTGTAAAGTTGGCAGAAAATCAGCTGCATATGGCAACAGTGGTGAATGCCGCTCACCTGGTACACTTATATTTACACCCATTCAAAGGTTTCTTGTATTTTCCAATATATTTTTTTCCAACTAACTTATGTGGCCTTTGAGACCAAAGTGACATGCAATGTACATATATACACTGGTTGTATGCAACACAATAACTGCACAAACATTATCATCATTATATTGTTTACAAAACTTGTTTACACAAACCAACAATACAAAAAATTGTGTATTACTATTGTTCTATAATATAAATGCAATTGTACAGTCACTGGACACTTTCCTAGAACTGCTGCAGCTTGTGGAAGTCTTTGAAAAACAGTGTTATGCACAATGGTGTTTTACATTCCTCACACATAAAACGAGTGTCTGCGTTTTTATGGGCGTTTCGTGGTATGCACAGACAAAACACCTCTTTTGAGCACTTTTCTTGAAAGTAGTAAGATGCAGTTGTATGAGGTAGTGATCACCAGGCCTCAGACGAGAGGGTACGTGTTGATAATCTTGTGGGCGCTGGTCTCTTGCAGGTGTTGTTCCCTGGTACTTGAATATTATTTGTCTAATGACTGACAAACAAAATTCACCATATTTTGGTTTGTTGTTGGTCTTCAACTTATACATGCTATAATTATTCAGCATGGAAATGTCAAGAAGATGGAAAAAAAGTTTTATGTACCACTTATAACTCTTGTGTACACAATCAGCAAAACCCAATCTGCATGTCACATTTGTTCATTAAGTGCATATTGAGGTTGTAGTCCATCACAGCTGCAGGTTTTAGAATGTGTTCATTGGTCTCTCTATTCTGCCTGCCACTGTCTGCCATTTCGTTTCAGTGAACATGTCAACAATGTGACATCACATTTGTCATGCCACCAAAATGCTATGATGCGTTGGCAGCAAACACCTGCACCTCACCTCTGTGAGTGCCTGTGTCTAGCCTAGACATATGCTTACAATTTCCACACACTGTACCACAGGTCTGCCACGTTCACTCGCAAGAAATCACTGATTAAGCGGCTTGTGTACGAGTTATAAGTATATAATATATGTCCCTTACCAAGATATGATTCCATCATTGTTCTAACCAC